CTGCACACGCACAGGAGGGCTGGCGCGTAGTGGGGCAGCTGGTGGCACAGAGAGCCACAGTGGAGAGAGGAAGGCAGTGCTAGGGGCTTCATTCATGCAGCAAGGGCTAAGATGGTAGGAAGCGGCCAGCTGCTCAGCAGGATATTGGCGGGGCTGCCCCATGAGGGCTTTACTGATGCTGATGTTCACGTTTTGTTATTTCATGGAGAGACAGCGTCAAGTTTCACACATGGGGGGGAAGCAAGACCTCAAGTATGTGCCCGGCTTACCTGCCTGCCTGCCTCCCTTCCTTCCTTCCTTCCTTCCTTCCTTCCTTCCTTTCTTCCTTCCTTCTTTCCCTCCTTCCTTCCATCCATTCTCATCAGTTGTGGAGCTGTAACTCAAGGCTGCTGCTGATCTCTTTTGCTCTACCGCGTTGAGCCACAGCTCCACTTTCTGCTTTTTTGAGTAGTTAATTGGAGATAAGAGTTTCAAGGCAATTTTTATGCCCAGGCTGGCTTTGAACTGGGATCCTCTGATCTCAGCCTCCTGAATAGCTAGTGTGAGCCTCCAGGGCCCCGTTTTTTGTTTGTTTTGTTTCTGTTTTTAAATAAAAAGGATAAATGGATAGTGGGCCTTCGGGGGGAGTACAGGAGAGGAAGGTTGGGAGGTCGGGAGGTTTGTGAGAGGCAAGTTTGGACTTGGGCCATGTTGAGATCAAAGAGTCCGTGGCTCCCAAACTGTGGTGTTCCGATATTGTGGGGGACTTGGATGGTGAGATACAGAGTGTTAGGTTTTTAAAAAGAGGTAGCCGAGTAAGAACTGCACCAGCACGCACGTGGTATTCAGGTAAGGGGTAGGTTTATTCAGTAGACCTGCTGGGACCAGGCAAGGTTGGCACTCCACGTGGCTGGGAAAGGCCTGGGGATGAGAGAGAGCTGGGAAAGAGAGGAAAGAGAGAGGAAAGAGCTGGAAAAGAGCAGAGAGAGGGGTAAGAACAGTAGCACTCACATGGTATTCAGGTAAGGGGTAGGTTTATTCAGTAGACCTGCTGGGACCAGGCAAGGTTGGCACTCCACGTGGCTGGGAAAGAGGAAAGAGAGGAAAGAGCTAGAGCAGAGAGAGAGAGAGCAGAGAGAGCTAGAAAAGAAGAGCAAGAGCAAGAGTAAGAGCAAGAGCGCATCTGGGCCTGGGCTAGGTCTTATGTAGGGTATGGGCGGGGAAAGGTGTGGCCACATCAAATTCAGATGTGACCTCAGCGGATGCAGATGTGACCTCTTCCAGGTGTCCCAGTTGCCTAGGTAACGCAGGTACTGGGTGGAGACTTTGCTGCGAGGAGGGTGGAGTCTGCTAGCCATCCCTGAGCAGACCTTACACAGAGAAGCCACGTTTTTGAGAGGTTGAATCAGGAGTCTATTGGAAGCCAGCAACTATGAACAGACACATGTCCCTGGAAAACTTGCACCCTCAAATACACTTAACGCTGTTAGGAAACTGAGCCATGAGGTAGTAAAGAAAGAGCAGAAAGGGCTGGGAAGGTGGCTCAGTGGTAGAGTGCTTGCCTTGCATGCATGAGGCCCTGGGTTCAATTCCTCAGCACCACATAAGCAGAAAAAGCTAGAAGTGGCGCTGTGGCTCAAGTGGTAGAGCGCTAGCCTTGAGCTGAAGAGCTGAGGGACAGCGCCCAGGCCAAGAGTTCAGGCAAAAAAAAAAAGAAAGAGCAGAAAAAGTCTCTAATGGAGAGTTGCAGAGGGACGCCAGGGTGGCCTGAGGAGTCAGGAGACACGAGGCTTGGACAATGGAGGCTGAGGTGATGGGGGGGGGCGGGCCTAAATAGGGTCATGGTCAGGGGGCAGGGTGACAGGGAGCTTCAGAGTTCAAGGTATAGGTCTGGCAGATCCAGTTACCTCTTGTCCCAGACCCCACCCCTGCCTCTGGAATTCAGGCACGCCCAGCACCTCTGGAATTCAGGCACGCCCAGCACCTGAGGGAGGGACTTCATCCACCAGGAAGCCAAGATGGCGCCAGTTAGACCTAGTACCCTTATTTCACTGAGAGAAAGCATGGAGTAGACACCTGAGAGAGAAATGGAGACGTGTGGTAGAGGACCCCATGTGTAGCTAGAGGAGCAGAGAAGAGTGACATGCTGCTGACAAGACCAGACACCTTCTTCGGAGATTGTGACTTCGGTGCTGCCACATCTCTAAGCTTGTTCTATGGGAGACATCAGTGGCTCACAGCCCGCAGCCCAGCCAAGCTAATGCTTCCGCTTTAGCTTCAACTCCTGACACCTGATTTTTAACTTGCACTGTTCCATTAGGTAGGCCTTTTTGTTTTTTGTGGGTTTTTTTGGTTGGTCGTGGTGCTTGAACTCTGGGCCTGGGCACTGTCCCTTTGCTTTCCAGCTCAAAGAGAGCTCTCTACCACTGGAGCCACAGCGCCACTTCCAGTTTTCTAGCGGTTTATTGGAGATAAGAATCTCAGGAACTTTCCTGCCCCGGCTGGCTTTGAACCACGATCCTCAGATCTCAGCCTCCTGAGTAGCTAGGATGACAGGCGTGAGCCATTGGTGCCCAGCCATTAGCTAGGCTTTTGAGAGTGTTTTATTTATTGAACTCTTTGCTTCTAGGTTTTCAATTTGACTAGATTTTTTCCTCTATCTCTATTGAATTCCCTTTCATACACTGCAATGTCTTCTTTATTTCCTTTAGCTGTTTGTTTAAATTCTCTAGCTGTTTGTGTCTTCTTTGAATTCATTCAATTCTTTATCCATTGCCTCCTTAATACAACCCTCTTGCTGTTGTTTTATTGAATTTGCCCCTCAAAATTTTTTCCTCTTCACTATCACCTAAGTCCTTTCTTGGGGAATTGCTGGCTTTTGAGGGAGCCATGCTGCCTTGTTTATTCATGAATATGGTGATTTTCCTCCCTCTGGGATTAATACATCTGTGGTCAAGTTTTGGCAGAGATTTCAATCTCTCGTGTCCTTTGAGTCGGTAATTTCTCACAGATTACTTTAGACAGGGTAATGTATGGGTTGTGGTAAAATTTCCTGTTACTTTCCCTCTCGTCAGCCACCTTTTGTGGCCCACTGTTAAACAGATTCTACGTAGGTCACTGAACTATGAGTGCTGCTTAGCACTAACCCCCATGACAACTCAGCCCCGGAAACAGGCTCTTTCTCACAATGACAACTCATTGTTATCTTCCAAGACAAAGAAGCCATTCCTCACCAAGGCTAGCCTCCCATATTGCAGTGACTACTGCTTCATAGTATTTGTACTGTCTTGGGGTTGAGGCTTACAGGTTGTGTGGACTTTTCCTATAGCTAGAATGAACAGTCTAATCAACAGAAGGGTCTGGTTTTCCCTTGTATTAGAGTTGATTTTCCCTCCCCCAGTTGAAGGAGCTGGGGACTGGATCAGAGCTCCATCTGCTGGGTTTGTTTCTCTGAATTCCTCTATCTCCCTGCTACCTCCTCTAAGGGTTCTGTTTGTTTGTTTGTTTTTCTGTTCATGAGCCTCAAACTCAGGGCCTGGACTCTGTCCCTGAGCCTCTCTATGCTCAAGGCTAAAGCTCTACCACTTGAGCCACAGCACCACTTCTGGCGTTTTCTGTGTATGTGGTACTGAGGAATGGAACCCAGGGCTTCATGCATGCTCAAGGCTAGTATTCTACCACTGAGCCCCCTTCCCAGCCCAAGGGTTCTGATTCTTTTCCTCTCATTCCTTCTTCAGAACCTCATCTTGTCGGTGTCCTCAGATTCTTCTCCCACACAAAGTGAAAACAGTAGATGCTTCCAGTCCCTCGTCTTATCCCACCTCTTTCCTCTGTCCTACAGATTTTTAGTATCTAATGATCATTTATCATTACTTCCTATGAGATAAAAATGTTCCTCGATTTCACTAATGAAGCAGTGGTTTAGCAACGCGCTCAGGGTCATATAATGAGGAAATGACAGAGGTGGGCTCTGAGGGTGGACTCTGTGCTCTTAACCAGGACTTCCATTCTTTAAATTACTTCAGTGAGTGCGTAACTGGGGGGACCTTTCCTACAGGGAGTTAGAGAGTTGGGTCCGGAGACCATGCGGGGTTTGGAGATTTGACGTTGGAGGCCGAGATGTGAGGGGGCAAGGATTGAGTGGGACATGGACACTCACCCGAGCTTTTCTTTTCTTTCTTTTTCTTTTTGAATCCTCCTCTAAAACTTTATTTCCTTGAGCTCAAAAGAACATACACAGATCCATGTAAAGAAAAGTCATCATATTAAGCAACTTCACATCTAGCCTGCTAAACTAGTTCTAGTCCAGAAACAAATGGACAACAATGGCTAGTAACCAGGTGATCTGATTTTCTTTTTGAATAGTTCTTTCTCTGCGATCACTGGAGTTTTTCTTTCTTTCTTTTTTTTTTTTTTTGGGTCCGGTGGTGGGCCTGAACTCTGGGCTTGGGTGCTGTCCCTCAGCTCTTCAGCTCAAGGCTCTACCACTTGAGCCACAGTGCCACTTCCCGGTTTTTTCTTTTTGCTTATGTGGTGCTGAGGAATGGAACCCAGGGCCTCATGCATGCAAGGCAAGCACTCTACCACTGAGCTACCTTCCCAGCCCCTCACTGGAGTTTTTCAAGTGGAGAATGTCTATGGCTCCCAGTGTAGGGTACAGCCAAAGAGAATGGGTGTCTACAAACACTACAGCAGTATCCTGGACAGAAAGGAGAGCCAGGAAGGCAAAGGACCAAAAATCCTCCCTGCTGGAACTTTCATGTTTTATAACTGACTTTCGTGTAGGCTTAGGGTGATCCAGACATTATATTTTAACTAAGGAAAAGAAAATTCAGCAGATTTGTCTCTTTGCCCTCACTTAATTCTCTGGAATCTACTTCCTACTCTTCTTTCTCTTTCGTTAAGTGGGGAAACCACTAAGAGCTTTTAAAAGGGAAGTCAGAAACAGGAGAAACAGGAAATTTGGACCAGGAGAAGGCTCTGTTATCAATCACATACCTGTAGTCCAGCTGGCATCAAGACTGGCTGGGAGCGGCCAGGAAAGCAGGACCATGTGGCTTTCCCCCGCCCTGCTCCTCCTCTGCTTCCGAGGTGAGTGAGTGGGGCTGTGGCTTTGGGGACCTGACAGCGTGGGTTATGGGTCAAGCCAGGGGTCAGGTGCCCACAGAAGTGGGAAGAACATGACCAGCCATACAGTTCTTGTCCTGTGCCTTCAAACATTTACCTGTGGACCTTACAACCATTTACTGAGCATGTACGATGGCGTGATAGGTGTTGTAATTATAAGTAAGGTGGGCGTTCAAAGGACTGGTGCTTAGAAGGAGAACTCAAAGCCAAGTTGCTGGAAGGCAGTGCAGAACCTGGTTCCGGATGGATGCGTTTATGGGCCACAGTGAGCCTTCACTCTGCTCTTAGAAGGATAGAAGGCTCTGTTGAGGCTTCGTGGAAGTCGGTTTTGAAGGACAAATGAGTCTGCTGAGCAGCAAAGGAATTGCATGGAGATAATAAAGACAAAGCATAGGGATTAGCAATAGTTCTGTGTTGCAGACTTCTTTAAAGGGGTGGGGAAGGTTCACAAGGAAGACTTAGTAATGATGACATTCACCTGCAACCCAGCCCTCAGGAGGCTGGGGCAGGAGGACTGGCAGTTCCAAGCCAGTCTGGGATTCGTGGTGAGACCCATCCCCAAAATTAAGAAGCTGGGCGCTGGTGGCTTACACCTGTAATCCTTCCTAATCAAAGAGACTGAGATCTGAGGATCATGGTTTGAAGCCAGCCTGGTCAGGAAAGTCTGTGAGACTCTTACCTCCAATAAACTACTCAAAAAAAAAAGCCAGAAGTGGCACCGTGGTTCAAATGGTAGAGTGCTAGCCTTGAGCATAAACAGGCTCAGGGACAATGTCCATGTCCTGAGTTCAAGCCCAGGAGCAGCAATAAGTAAATAAATAAGAACTCATCATCCTCATCTGGTTTGAACAAATAAGCAAAATTGCCCCTCAAACATTGACATTCCAGAAAAGAAACTCTTTTTAAAAAGCAGGAAAACACATTTCCCCCGCCCCCCCCACCGTGGGAAATTAAGTGTGGGATCAAAATGTGAAGACAATCTTCATTGTTTGATTTATGCTCAGGATCTCTCACAAAACATAGAAACTGGTCAGGCACTGTTGGCTCACGCCTGTAATCTAAGCTACTTGTGAGGGTGAGAACTGAGGATCGTGATTTGAAGCCAGCCTGGGAAGGAAAGTCCATGAGACTCTTATCTCCAATAAACTGCAAAAAAAATGCAGAAATGGAGCTGTGACTCAAGTGGTAGAGCAATATCCTTGCACAAAAGGGACAGTGTGTGGGCCTTGAGTTAAAGCCTCAGGACACACACACACCTACGTCTACACACACACACACACACACACACACACACACAGAAACTGCCTGATGCACACACACCTACGTCTACATACACACACACACACACACACACACACACACACACACACACACACACACACAGAAACTGCCTGATGCAATGACCAGACTCTTTCTAGAATGATGAGCGCAAAAGACAGATTTCAAGGTTGGTGACAGTGACCAAAAGCATAATTTTTTTTTGTTGGTCATGGGGCTTGAACTCAGGGCCTGGGCGCTGTCCCTCAGCTCTTCAGCTCAAGGCGAGTGAGTGCTCTACCACTTGAACCACAGTACCACTTCCAGTTTTCTGGTGGTTAATTGGAGATAAAAGTCTCATGGCCTTTCTTGCCTGGGCTGGCTTTGATCTATGATCCTCAGATCTCAGCCTCCTGAGTAGCTAGGATTACAAGAATGAGCCACCAGTGCCTGGGCTCAAAACGTAATTTTTTAATCAGTAAAATGGTTGATCTCTTAACATCCATAATAATTTAGATCCGTAAACTCAGATATTTGGAAGAAATGCATCTCATTACATATCAGAGGGACTTATACTGTCTTCACTGATGGTGGTGGTGGTGGTAGTGGTAATAATGGTAACAGTGATGTGATGATGGTGGTGGTGGTGATGACATTGTTGTTGCTGTTGGTGGTGGTGGTAGTGATGATGGTGTTGTTGGTAGTGGTGTTGATGATGGTAGTGGTGATGTTGATGGTAATGATGGTTCTGTTGGTGATAATGTCAGTGGTGGTGGTTGCAGTGATGATGTTGGTGGTGGTTGTGATGATGCTAGTGGTGGTTGTGGTGGTGGTGGTTGTAGTAGTGATGCTGTTTTTGGTAGTGGTGTTGAGGATGGTAGTGGTGATGATGGTTTTGTTTGTGATAATGGTGGGGGTGGGGGTTGTAGTGTGATGATGTTGGTGGTGGTTGTGGTGGTGGTAAGGGTGGTGGTGGTTGTAGTGATGATATTGTTGTTGGTAGTGGTGTTGATGATGGTAGTGGTGATGGTGATGATGGTTTTGTTGGTGATAATGTTGATGGTGGTTGTAATGATGATGTTGGTGGTGGTAGTGATGATAGTGGTGAGGGTGGTGGTGGTTGTAGTGGTGATGTTGTTGGTAGTGGTGTTGAGGATGGTAGTGGTGATGATGATTTTGTTGGTGATAATGATAGTGGTGATGATAGTGGTGGTGGTGATGGTGGTGGTGGTGATGATGTTGGTGGTGGTTGTGGTGGTGGTGATGGTAGTGGTGAGGGTGGTGGTTGTAGTAGTGATGTTGTTGTTGGTAGTGATGTTGAGGATGGTAGTGGCGATGATGATTTTGTTGGTGATAATGTTAGTGGTGGTGGTTGTAGTGATGATGATGATGGTGGTGGTGATGATGGTGGTGGTGGTTGTAGTGATGATATTGTTGGTAGTGATGTTGATGATGGTAGTGGTGATGGTGGTGATGATTGTTTTTTGGTGATAATGTTGGTGGTGGTGATAGTTGTAGTGATGATGGTAGTGGTGGTGTACTGGTGATGTTAATAGTGATGATAGCACTGGTAGTCATTATAGTTGTGCTGGTAATGGTGATAAAGATGATGATGATGATGATGATGATGATGATGATGGCAATAGATCATTTAGATCACAGTGGAGTTTGAGTAAACTCTCAATTTCAGAAACAGGTACCTGTAACACTGGTGGCAAGAGTCACCTTGTACCAGCTCCCAAGGCTGGGACATAGGAGAGCATGTCTTCCGTCTCTACAGTCAGTGACAGCCTGGAATCAGTCATGGTGAGAATATCTGTGCTGCAGAAATGAGCCAACAGCACAAATCAGGACTTACCACCACCTCACTGCTTGTTTAGACCTGCTTGTTTCTCCAGTGCATTGGTTGGAGGCACTCAGTTGATGAAACTTCTTCCACCCGTGCACGGGATGCTGACTGATCTCCCTGACCTGTCCATCCTGGGTACATCTGTGATTGGAGGTTCCTCATGGAACCAGTTTAAAGCTCCAAAATCCCTTGCAGTGTGGATTTCAGTTCTCCATTTTCATTCCAGTTCCTGGCTTAGGTCCCTCCTTCTTTTCCTGGCTTTTCCTCTCCGCACACTGCACCTGTCCTGAGTTTGGGGGGCAGGGTGGGGGAGAACGTAATTGCTTTAAATGTCTGGAGGCACTCTGCAAGGGTTACATGGCCAGCCTGAAAAACCGGAAGAAAGAGATGGATGAAAGGCAGGCTAAGAGGAGCTGATTCCAGGGCTGGGAAGGTGGCTCAGTGGTAGAGCGCTTGCCTTACATGCATGAGGCCCTAGGTTCCATTCCTCAGTACCACATAAGCAGGAAAAAAAAAGTGGGAGGTGGCGCTGTGGCTCAAATGGTAGAGCACTAGCCTTGAGGTGAAGAGCTGAGGGACAGTGCTCAGGCCCAGAGTTCAGGCCCACGACTGGACCCAAAAAACAAACAAACAGACAAGAGGAGATGATTCCAGAGCGAGGAGAGAGCAGAGGAGGAAAATGAATTTCAACATGAAATGGCCAAAAACAGACCTTGTATTTGCTATGCATTTGACAATCTACACGTTCAAATTGCCACCACAATTTGCTAATGCTCTTTTGGTTCACATAGGGTAAGGACGTATTTATGAGGGACAGCATAATATTTTGGTATGTGTACATACTGTGTAATGCTCTAGTCAGTCCTGTCACTTATGACAATGTGAATGAACACATAGAACATCATGTTAAAGAAAACCAGGCTGCTGGGTGTGTTAGTGCGGGTCTATATTCCCAGCAGTTGGGAGGCTGAGGCAGAGTGATCGTTATCTGCGGCTGGCCCCAACAAAAAAGTGAGAGGCCCTATCTGAAAAATAAACTAAAGCAAAATACACTTTGGGCAAGGCTCATGTGCTATGCCTGCAATATGTCCTGAGTTCAACCCCAGTACAACCAAAACCAAACCAAACCAACACACGGACTGCAAAGAAAATCAGAAGTTGCATCAGAAAAAAAAAAAAAAACAAATCAAATTTGACAAAGCAGTTTCAATGGCAACAAATTTCAATATGTCCCCTAAAAATTAAGAAATGTAAGGGAAGGGGTGGGCAAGAATGTTGTTCAAAATGCACCCCGTTTATAAACTGCTTTGTTGGATGACAACTCTTTGTACAACTACTTAAAGACAAAAAAGTTAAAAAAAATTAAGCCAGATGCAGGTGGCTCACGCCTGTCGTCCTAGCTACTCAAAAGGCTGAGATCTGAGGATCGTGGGTCAAAGCCAGCCCAGGCAGGAAAGTCTGTGAGACTCTTATCTCCCATGAACCAATCAGAAAACCAGAAGTAGCACTGTGGCTCAAGTGGTAGAGTACTAGCCTTCGGCTGAGGAGCTCAGGGACAGCACCCAGGTCCAGAGTTCAAGCCCCACAACCAACAAATAATAATAATAGTAATAATAAAGTTTGAGTTGCAAGTGACATCTAAAGCAAAGGCCTTGGGGAAGGGTTTTATTTGCTAGAGGCTGCAGGACAGGGGACAGGCAGGGTAGAAGGCCTCTCCACCAAGCTGCTTCTGGCAGGCTGCTCTGGAGGGACACCTGGAACTTGTGTCTTCCAGGCTGCTGCTCTCTGACAGGTCCTGGCTCTGTGACGGGCACCGAAGGGGGCTCCCTGCGTGTGCAGTGTCGGTATGACGAGGGGTACAGGGGCTACAACAAATACTGGTGCAAAGGAGAGCATGACACAGCATGTGAAAGTATCGTTCAGACCCACGGGAAAGAGGAAGAGGTGAGGAGTGGTCGCGTGTCCATCAGAGACAACGGTGCTGACGCCACCATGGTGGTGACCATAAGGGACCTCCGTGAAGAGGACGCCGGCCCTTACTGGTGCAAGATCCAGACCATATGGATCCTGGATGAGTTGTCACGTGACCCTGCCGTGGCTGTTACCGTGTATGTTTCCCCAGGTAAGAGCTCTCTCGGCGTGGGTGGTGGAGCTCTTGACTGGACACGGGGCAAGGGTGGAGCGTGTCTCTGAGACTGGTCCTCACTCTTGGTAGAATTGAGAGAAGCCCGTGAGGCAGGGGGAGGGAGAGGTGGCTGACTCCTCAGCTTTGGGTAGTAGGGTCAAGTGAAGGGGCATAGCTTATGCCAATGGCTGACACTTGTCCTTGGGGGAGGCTGAGAAACCACGAGCCTGTTTCCTACGGGGTTAAGGTGGACTTGAGTGGTCTCCATCTGAGGGCTGCTTAGGGCCCCTCTCAGGACCCCTGGGAAGGTCTCAGGGCTGCTCCCCCTTCCCTTGTCCGGGGGTCCTCACCAAGCAAGAGCAGTCCCCGGGAGATGCCTGCCCTCAGCCACGCAGAGTCAGACAGAGATGGTCAGAAAGACCTGGCTACAGTTCCATTCCACCCAGGAGGCGGCCTGGGTTTGGATTCTGAGCATGTCTCTAAACCCACTGTGAGTGGACGGTTCTGTGTGACGTCAGATCCAAACAGGTGCTGAGAGACAGAGCCATGGCCTGACCTGTGACTCCCCTCCCCCCACAGCAACTACAACGCCCATGGTGATTACGACCCCCATGGTGATCACCACATCGGCCACCCCACTGGTAACTGCCATGTCCACCACCCCACTGGTAACTGCCACATCCATGACCCCACTGGTAACTGCCACGTCCACCACCCCACTGGTAACTGCCACGTCCACCACCCCACTGGTAACGGCCACGTCCACCACCCCACTGGTAACTGCCATTCAGAACCTCAGCAGCAATAGTGTGTCTGCTGTCTACTCATGGTAAGGACCTGAGGCCTAGAGATGGGGAGGGGGACCGGCAGCCTGTGGGACCCTGTGGGTCTGGGGAGGGTAGCAAATCATGTCTACAAAACCTCCCTGCCAGCTGGTGTCTTGTCCAACTCTATCGGAGGCATTTTTACATTCTCCGAGGCTGCACAGGGTGCGGAGTAGGGACGGTGCAGGGTCTGGGCTGGAAGCTGCCTCTGGAAGATGTCGGGTCGCTCTTCTCATTCCTCCTCTCACCTTGTCCTTCCCCACCTCACTTCAGACTAGGGGAGGGGTCCTTGTTTTGTCTTTGCTCCTTGCTACCAGGAGCTGTCTGCGAGTTCTGTGGGGAGACAGGTTAGCTTCAGGCTGGAGTTTGGATCCATTTCCCTTCCTCTCCTGAAGATACTCAGAAAGGCTGTGATGATGGTGATGATGCCGGACCCAGAGGGGATGGCACAAGGGAAGACGTCAAAGCGAGTGATTAGGGGTTTCTATGATAGAAGGATGGGAGAGGGCGACTCTTTTGTGGTTGTTGGTGGTGGTGGTCGTAGAGCTTGAACTCTGGGCCTGGGCACTGTCCCGGCGCTCTTCAGCTCAAGGATAGCGCTCTACCACTTGAGCCACAGCGCCAGTTCTGGTTTTCTGGTGGTTTATTGGAGATAAGAATCTCATGGACTTTCCTGCCCGGGCTGGCTTTGAACTGTCATCCTCAGATCTCAGCCTCCCAAGTAGCTAGGATTACAGGTGTGAGTTACCCACCAGCACCCAGCAGGGTGGCCCTTGAGTGTGTTTCTGGAAAGCTGGGCTGCTCGCCTCACTTTTGATGAGACTCTGATGTCCAGGCCTTGGCTGAAGGAGGAGAGGTCATGGAATCACCTGGAGAGACTGCCCCGAGCCCTTTCCCGGTTCAATTGGGAATTATTTGGCCTCGGGAGTCTGGGCACACAGAGAGGCAGAGAAGAGGCGCCCAGGAGCACTCCCCAGGGAGATGCCTCACTTCCTGTCCTCCTCTTGCCCACAGGTCTCTGTTCAGCAGCATTTATGTCCAGATCCTGATTACCCTGAAGCTGCTCCTGCTCCTGGGTGTGCTCTGTGCCGTCGTCTGGGTGAACAGGGCTCAGAGAATTCCCAGGCAAGAGAGAGTCGCTTACCTGGCACTCCAGAAGGCAGTCTTCGATGACCTCCCCGTACAGCTGGGCAGCTCGTCAGACTACAGGGCCAAGACTTGGACTCTGGACAAAATGCAGCCGTGATGGATTCTGGGAGCAGTTATGGTTTCTGTACCTCCAGGGAGGATAGAGAGGACAATCCCTTGGTGTCCTCAGCCTGGGAGCTTCTGCTTGCTGGGGTGGGGTGGGGCAGGGGGAGTAGAGGAGGTGGAGGGAGGGGGAGAGGTAGAGGGGGGAGAGGAAGAGCTCCTCCCTCCTCAGATCCCCTGCCTCCCGTCCTCATGCCACTTCCCCATGAAAAGAAAGTTCTGAACGTTCCATGCTCACCACCTAGTCCCTTCACTGGAGCTGCTCAGCTCAACGCCCGTCCCTCCCTTTCCCGCCCAGGGCAGTCATCACCCCTTCCTGTAGACACAGCTTTGGCTCCATGTCCTGTTTGGAACCATCTTGGAGGATGTTAGAGAGCATGCTCACGCAACAGTGCTGTCTCCTAAGCACCTGGCATTCTTCCCCTCTCTGCATAGGCAGGGCTGGCCTGGGCTTCCCGTGGCCTTCTGGGCCTGTATCCCGAGAGCCCATGGGTGGGGGATTCAGTGTGTCCAGCCGGGGCTGGCCAAGGTCTAGCAGCTCCAGGTTGGAGAGCCGAGGTGACTCGGAGCAGCAATAGGAGAACGAAGTGGGGGTGTCCCTAAGATCATTCCCAGAATCCCCCCAATTTGTACACACTGTTATCCAAAGGTCTATGTTTGCTATAGAAATTGTCTGATCCCACTCATCAGCAATGAACTCCTTCCACTAAGGGGGAAGATAGCTTTTCAAAGATGGGGTACAGGGCCCAGAGATGAAGGCATGCTTTCCCACATCGGGACCACCCGATGCTGCAGCCATGGGTGCGTCCTCGCCCAGCATGGGGCTCCGTTGGACTTTTCCCTGCCTGCTGACTGCTTCTTCCCTGCACTTGGCAGAGAGGATGTGCATGCACAGCGGGCCACAAACCAATGTCCCCATCTCTACTCGCTCCCTGCGTCTGGACCCAACTTTCTCCTGTGCCCCAGTACAAGGCCTGAACTGGTGAAGCCAGTCTCCAGCGAGGGGCCACGTTCAGGGCAGCACACCAGTGAAACCGCCGTCGCGGTCGTCGCCACGGGAGGCCTGTGTGCAGAGCGCTGCCCACACTGCTCCTCCTGGGGACGGCACCGCAGCTCAGCACAGACTCTCTTGTGGCAACGCAGATGGAGCCAGCCTAGGGGAGAGGAAGTCAGGCATGCTGGCAGAGGGGCACAGCACCCAACTCTATGTGTGTGTGTGTTTAAAGGTCTTTCAGTAGTTGTGTCAGTTGAACATGTCAAGTTAGGAGTGCAGGAGCTCTTGAACAATATCACCCCCATCCTTCCCTCCCAAGTGTCCCAGCGCCCTGTGCCTGGAGTGACTTGGTTCCATATTGACATATGTACGTTGAACGTGATGACTGCATTCACCCACCCTTCCCCCTATTCACCTGCCCTCCCTTCTCCTAAGCCCCAAGACAAAACATATTTCAGCTCCCGGGTCTCTTCATTCTGTTAAACTGTTTCTTAATTGTTGAGCTGTTTTGTTTTCTTTTGTTGGTGGTGGTGGGCTTTTTTTTTTTTGGTATGATATTAACTAGTGCCCAGTGACAGGTGCCACCTTCGAAGTGTGAATTCAGACCTGAGGGCAGAGCCCCTGGCTGAGCAAATGACACTTGGTTATGTGTATGTATTGGCAATCAGTGGCCCTTAACAATACAGTGACCAAAGCGAGACATGTGTGTAGGTCCATGCAAATCCTGCATGCTGGTCTGCTGGAGCCTTGTATTTACGGCTGGCCCATATGGTACCCCAGCAGGCACAGGGACTGGCCTTCTCAGGTGCACAGATGGGTCTGCAGGGAGGAGGCAGGGACAGATGGCATCCAGGGGCCAGATACAACTCTGCTCCCCGCTTTGTGACTGGGCACTGGGTTCTATGACACCTTCAGGATTCATCATTTTATTATATGTGACAAGGAGGTGCTAGGTTAAGATTCTTCCATATCTGGGGCTGGGAAGGTGGCTCAGTGGTAGAGCACTTGCCTTGCATGCCTGAGACCCTGGGTTCGATTCCTCATCCCCACATAAGAAAAAAGAAGAAAGGCAGGGGTGGCGCTGTGGCTCAAGTGGAATAGCGCTAGCCTTGAGCTGGAGAGCTGAGGGACAGCGCCCAGGCCCAGAGTTCAGGCCCCATGACCTGATCGACCCCCCCCCCGCCATAAAAAAGATTCTTCCATATGGAAGTTTAAAATCACCATGGCAACTTCTTTTGCAACTGCTTGTCCTTGGAGTTTGGGCCTTGAGCTGGGGGTGGGGGCACCTGCTTGTAATCTCCGTTACTAGGAGCAGGAGAAGGGAGGATCACAGTCCACAACTGGCCCTCGTGAAACAGGAGGTCCTATCTAAAACAAACAACAAAGGCCAAAGAAAGGTCTGGGGCTTGGCTCAAGTGGTCGAGCACTCGGTGAAGCACTGTTGGAGGTGTATAACCCCTCTGTTTGAGACTGGGTGGCCTGGGACTGCTTTAACCAGTAGGTACCAGCAGGGTTTCTCAATCTGGCCCTCAGCATCCTTCTAAAGAGTCTGTATAGGTATTTTCCTCTCTCAAACCTTCTTCCCAGGTGAATGAAATTTCAATACCAAAGGTACCCTGTGCATGTATTATTTCTATATGTAATTGGCCCTCTAATTGTTAACCAAATGAAGATCAAAAATATTGAGAGACAGAGAGACAGAGAGAGAGAGGAGAGAGAAAGCACCTGGATGGGTGCTGATGGTTCACACCTGTAATCATAGCTACTTGGGAGGCTGCGAATGAGAGGACCAGAGTCCAAGGCCAGCATGAACAGAAAAGTTTGCAAGGCCTCTTCTCAACAGAGAGCTGCATTCTGTGGTATGTACCTGCTGTCCTACCTGAGATGGGAGCCCTAAAACAAGCAGACTGAGGAAAGGAGAGCCTATCTCAGAAGTGTTCGGCAACAACAGAAACAGGCTAGAGGCACGACTCATGCTCAGAATACCAACCTAACAAGTGTGAGAGAGACCTTAAGTTCAAATTCCAGTACTCTCTCTCTCTCTCTCTCTGGGTATAAAAGCCATCTATATTGAACATGTAGAAACTTCCCTCTGCAATATACCGTAATGAATGTTTACATTTGCATTGTGTCACAGGTGTTATACATAATGCAGCGATGTTGACTTGAGGTGTATGGGAAGACACATGTAGATTATATAGAAAATAATTTATGTAGGGGATGTGAGGATCTAGGACTGTTTTTTTAATTTTTTGGTCAGTTGTGGGACTTGAACTCAGAGCCTGAGTGCTGTTCTGGAGCCTCTTTGTGCTCAAGGCTAACACTCTACCACTTGAACCACATGTGGTACCATTTCCTCTAAGACTGGTTTTGAAATCAGTCCTCTGCAGGTACCTAAGAACAACTGTAGGTGTTACCATGTGTGTATGAAATCTCCCCCTCCCCCTTTCCCTGTTTTGGAAGGGTCTATAAAACTTAGGAGGTGGGATCCTCCTACAAGAGGTAGGTCACTGAGGGCAGGAAGATCTTTGGAGGTATCCTGTCCCTAGTCCCTTCCTGCCCCTCTACTTCTTGTCTGCCATGAGGTGAAGAAACTTCCACCACCCATTGCTGCCATGATGATTCTAAGTGCAGGGAGCCAAGCAAACAGGCACTGAAGCCTCTGGAAATGTGAGCCAGGATTAGTCCTTCTTCACTGAACAAGCCACTGTCTGCAGGGCAGGGGTGGGGGGAAGTGTGCCAATAGGAGAGTGCAGAGACAGGCTCCTGGGATAGAACTATCATGGCCCTATGTGTGAAGGGATCCCAAGGACACCCAGGGTCACCGGCTAGCCTGGGGCAGCAAGCCCGTGCACCTTGGTAATTTCTGTTCTGAGGTCTTTTTTTTTTTCTTTTTCTTTTTTGTCGGTCGTGGGGCTTGAACTCTGGGCCAGGACGCTGTCCCTGAGCTCTTCAGTTCATACCACTGGAGCCACAACACCACTTCTGGTTTTCTGGTGGGTCATTGGAGATAAGAGTGTCAGGGACTTTCCCTGCCCGGGCTGGCTTTGAACCCTGATCCTCAGATCTCAGCCTCCTGAGAGCTAGGATGACAGGCGTGAGGCACCAGCGCCGGCTCTTCGGAGGTCTTTGAGGCAGGTGGGCCTCATGTTAGCATCTGTGCCTCTCCATTGTGTTGAAAGCAGGAGGCCAGCTCCCATTCCCCTGCCAGCCTCTCCCTAGCACTGTGAGGAGGAAGGCTGGAGCCACGAATGGACAGCAGGCAATACCTCTGCTCTCAGGAAATAGGAAAAATGGTTTATTCTGAGCCATCTCCGAACAAACCATGTCCCCGGGACACAGACTGTCTTTTGCTCTGGCATCAAGAGGCTAAGTGAACTTTTGTCCTCACAGAATGAAATGTACCTATGCCAAGGTATTGATGGGTGGGTTCCCAGGCAGGGTGGGGTGGGGTGGGGTGGGGGTGGATCAATGTCTTTCACACCTCTCAGGCATTGCGGTAGCTTAGAGTTAGCAGAGCTGTGCTCTGTGAAGCTTAGTGAACGCTATCTAAAAGTCAAGAATTTTCTGAGTTTTCTGCAAAAGTTGGGGAGATGGGGATCAGGTTAGGTCTGGAAGATTTTAAATGTCGTGTGTGTGTGTGTGTGTGTGTGTGTGTGTGTGTGTGTCTGTGTGTCTGTGTGTCTGTGTGTCTGTGTGTGTCTGTGTGTCTGTGTGTATGTGTTTGCATGCCAGTACTGAGGCTTGAACTCAAGTCCTGGGCACTATTTATTAGTTTTTTTTGCTCAAGACAGGTTCTCTACCACTTAAGGCACAGCACCACTTCCAGGTTTTTTCCTTTTGCTTGTTATTGGGAGATAAGAGTCTCATGGGCATTCCTGCCCAGGCTGGCTTTGAACTATGATCCTCAGATCTCAGCCTCCTGTGTAGCTAGAATTACAGGCATGTATAGCTAGAATTACAGGCATGAGTAGCCAGCGCCAAGCACAAATGTCTATTAAAGAGTAGCCCCTCCTAAAGGTAGCCCCAGACTACTTTGCCTTTTTGTTTTTTGTCAGGGCCTGGGCACTCACTGTCCCTGACCTCTTTTGCTCAAGACTAGCGCTCTAGCACTTTGAGCCTCAGCTCCATTTCCAGTTTTCTGGTGGCTAACGGCAGATAGGAGTCTCACAGAGACTTTTCACCTGTGCTCTCCACATCCTGGTGCTTTACTCAGCCAAGGTGAAGCCACCTGCAGCCTCTTCAAAGTGAGAAGCACACCTCTACCTGGGACTGCAGCAGGCCGAATGAGGATTCCCCTAAAGAGACTGTGATCCTCAAACCCTGTGAATGTGGGACTGAGACTGCAGCTCAGTGGTAGAGCGCTTGCCTAGCACGCGTGAAGCCCTGGGTTCCATTCCTCAGTACCACATACACAGAAAAAGGTAGTTGTGGCGCTGTGGTTCAAGTGGTAGAGTGCTAGCCTTGAGCAAAAAGAAACTTAAGGACAGTGCCCAGACCCTGAGTTCAAGCCCCAGGACTGGCAAAACAACAACAAAACAAAACAAAATCTGTGAGCATGTTATGCCCAGTGGTTAGGAAGTGTTAACACAGCAGATGGATTTAAATCCCCTGTCAGCTGACCCAGGGAGGCTAAGGTGGTACCTGAGTCCTCACAGGGACCTGCAGATGAATGCAAGCCAGAGCAGGAATGCCAGAGGCAGAGTGCTGAGAGAGAAGAAAGACCCTTGCTGCCCTTGGAGATGGAAGGGGCCCCAAGCCAAACACCACGGCCGCCTCTAGAAGCTGGAAGAGGCGAAGGAACAGATCACTGCTGACACTGCAAGAGGAGCAGCCTGGATGCTCACATCACACTTGTCTCAAGAACTGCAAGGCTTAATGTTGTTTTGACCAGTTGCTGCTGGCTCTCGCCTGCATCCTAGCTACTCTGGAGGCTGAGATCTGAGGATCAAAGTTTGGAGCCAGCCTAGGCCAAAAAAAAAAAGAAAGAAAGAAAAAAGAAGAAAAAGTCTATGAAACTCTTACCTCCAGTTAACCAGCAACACACATACACACACACACATACACACAAAAAAAACCAAAACCACACACACATACAACCACAACCACAACCAAAACCACACACACACAACCAACACTAAAACCGTACACACACACAAGCATAACGAAAACTAAAATCACACACACAACCAAAACTAAAACTACACACAACCAAAACCAAAACCACACACACACACAAAACCAAAACCAAAACCACACACACACACACACACACACACAACCAAAACCAAAACCACACACACACACACAGAACCAAAACCAAAACCACACACACACACACACACACAACCAAAACCAAAACCACACACACACACACACACAAAACCAAAACCACATACACACAACCACAACCAAAACCAAAACAAAACACACATACAACCAAAACCAAAACAAAGTGGAGCTGTGGCTCAAAGTGATAGAGCACTAGCCTTGAGGAAAAAGCTCAGGGACAGCATCTGGACGCTGAGTTCAAGCCCCATAAGAGAAAAAGAGCAGATTCAGGAAAGAAGTGGAGGGATCATGTGACCCAGAAAAAGAGGAAAGAGACCTGTGCAGGAAGTGGAAAGACAGGCCAGCATCACCCTGGGGGTCATTAGCACAAACACTTTCCTTGCAGACTGGTGACCAATGAGGGGTGAGAGGCACATGGGGCGGGGTCTTCCCAAATTGAGCAACTTCCCCTTCCTCAGGCTCTCAGGGGAGGAGCCCCAGGGGAGGCTCTGGCCCCAGGGCCCTGCTGGAAGGGGTGGTTTGAGACCAGCTGCAGTGGTGGGGTGGCGGCACCTGGCCTGAGGTCAGGAGTCAGGAGTCTGGCTTCTCCAGTGGGACTGGGCATGCGCCCTGAGAGCCAAGCCAGTGAAACCGGCCCTCCATCAGGGAGGCTCTTCTTCCAGACCCATGGCCTGAGTCCCACCCGGGCAGCAGTCCCCAGGCTCCTCAGTTCTTGGGTTTGTCTTCTTCTCCTTATGGTCCCCATCCTGTCCTCTACCTCTTGCTCTCTCTTACAGTCTCCTCCCCTTCCTCCTCCTTGCTTCCTGTTCTCCTCCTCCTGCTCTTCTTCCTCCTCCCCTCCTCCCCTACCTTCTCCCCTTCCTTCCCCTCCTTCTCTCCATTCTTCCATTCCCTCATTCCTCTTCCCTCCCCCTCCTCCCTGCTCCTCCCCTCCTCTCCTCCTTCTCCTAGCCACTCTGCATCCTCTCTTTCTCCCTCTCCTCCCCTTCCTTTTCCCATCCTTCCCTTCCTCTCCCTCCCTCCACCCCTATGGGGCCTGACTCTTTCCTGTGCAAACCTAGTCTGCTCTGAGCACATGCTGGAAGGTTCCATGCCATGGATTGTCTTCTAGAGAAGGACATCTCCTTTCTCCTCAGATGCGACAGGGTGGAAGTAACAGAGGGAGATGTCTGAGGGGGATTCAGACAGCTTCTGCCATTTTCTCCACAGCTCGGGGGTCGAGGCCTTGAAGGGTGCTGGGCACCTGTCACCATGGAGACAGGAGATGGAGCCACGAGGCTGTGCCCTGCTCTGCTCTTCTTCCTCCTCCTCCTCCTCCTCCTCCTCCCAGGTAAGTGAGGGCTCCAGTGGCAGAGGCTGGGCAGGAGACAGAGGCAGCCTGTCCCAGGAAGCTCACTAAGGGGCTGCGTTCTCAGCCATTCAGCAGCAGTTAGGTTCACACGACCTGGCATGCGCTCTGGCAGGTCTTGCAGAAACAAACTAAAACCAAAACTAAATGGAAACACCACCTTGTAGAGGCCGGTTTCTTTACCCTGACTATTCTATATGATTCGTGAACCAATGAATAAAGGCATTTTTTAAAAATTAACTTTTCTCAGTAGCAGGGTTTGAGCTAAAGGCTTTGCTGTGGCTCAGCTGGTTTCAGTTGCACAGGGCAGGTGATGAGGACGATGTGTCTCCATCGGCCTCACTCCTTCCATTGTTTTCCACGGCTTCCCCCTCCCATCCCCAACCTCAAGTTCCACAGTTCAATTTTCATAGTGTACATTGAATACTGACTATGTTTTCTCAATCTTCTTCCCTCCACTTTTTTTTGTGCCAGTCCTGGGGCTTAAACAGGGCCTGGGGACTGAGCTCTTTTGCTGAAGCCTAGCTCTCTACCACTGAAACAAGCTCTGCTTTCAGTGTGTTTGATGGTTCATTGGAGATAAGAATTTCTCAGGCTTTCCAGCCAGGGCTGGCTTAGAACTGTGATCCTCAGATCTCAGCCTCCTGAGTAGCTAGGATGACATGCGTGAGCCATTGGCACCCGGATCTTTCCTCCATTTTTTTTGTGTTCCCCTTTCATTGCCCTCCCTCCAAAAAAAACAAAAGTTAGCTCTTACTGGGAATTTGAGAACAATTCATGGAGAAGATGGGACCTGCGTGGAGGGTCCATAGCACAAGGAGGTATGTTGGTGTCAGTCCATGGCATGGAACCTTCCAGCATGTGGTCAGAACAGACTAGGTTTGCATAGGAGAGAGACAGGCCCTATAGCGGTGGAGGGAGGGAGAGGAAGGGAAGGATGGGAAAAGGAAAGGGAGGAGAGGGAGAAAGAGAGGATGCAGAGGGGCGAGGAGAAGGAGGAGAGGAGGGGGAGGAGCAGGGAGGAGGAGGGAGAAGGAAGGGGAGAAGAGAATAAAGGGAGGAACAGGGAGGAGGAGGGTGAGGATCAGACAGGAGGAGGGAGAGGGGAGAGGAATGAGGGGATGGAAGGAAGGAGAGCAGGAGGGGAAGGAAGGCCAGTGGAAGGTTGAAGGACAGCAGGATTGTCATGGCGTGGGGGTGCAGGTTGTCAGGGTGGGGGCTGACAGGTGTATGGACTGGTGTGTTCCAGGCTGCTGCACTGCAGAGAGGGATATCAGTGGCCCTAGGACAGTGAGTGGCCCAGAGCAGGGCTCCCTGACCGTGCAGTGTCCATATGCTTCGTTGTGGAAGACCTACAACAAGTGGTGGTGTCAAGGAGCAGGTTGGAGCAGCTGCAGGATCCTTGTTCAGACCAGTGCAGAAGAGCAGAAGGTGAAGAGGGGCCGTGTGTCCATCACGGATGACCAGATAAACTTCTTGATCATGGTGACCATGGAGGATCTCAGGATGAGTGACGCAGATGTGTATTGGTGTGGAATCGAGAGAACTGGAACAGATCTTGGGGTCAAAGTTCAAGTGACAATCGACCCAGGTAAGATTTGTCCCTGAGATACCACTCATGGGAATTAGCTGTCCCTCAGCATGACCCTTCAGGGAGGGGCGTGAGTCCTGAGGGCTCAGGGGAGCTGGGCTGACCACGTGGGTTCGGGAGGGGCAGGGCTTCTCTTAAACAACCCTCCCTCACCGCCCAGAGCCTTCTCCAGGGTGGCCTCCCACCTTCCTCTTCAAAGCCCAGGCCTGAGTCTAATGCCCTAGAGGAGAGGGTGATGGTCCCCAGCCCATGGCCCAAAGAGACCCCCTTCCATGCTTCCCAGAGACCCATGTCTTTGCTAGTAGCTTTCAGTGCTGCCCAGGCTGTGTAGGCAAATGGCAGGGTCCAGACCACTACCTTCCGTGAATCTTCATAGACAAAGTGGAGATATCTTGATTAAGGGAAGTGTCAGTTTAGGTGAGCATGCCCAGAAAAGTATAGGCAAATAGAGAATATTAGAAACAAAAGTCACTGAATCCCAAAGCACTAACTAAAAGAAGAAAAGGGGGCCAGACGCCCGTGACCCACACTTGTCATCCTAGCTACTCAGGGAGGCTGAGATCTGAGGATCACGGTTCAAAGCCAGGCCGGGCAGGAAACTCCATGAGACTCTTAACTCCAATCAACCACCAGAAAGCCGGACGTGGCACTGTGGCTCAAGTGGTAGAGCACTCATGTTGAGCTGAAGAGCTGAGGGACAGCGCCCAGGCCCAGAGTTCAAGCCCCAGGACCGACAAAAAAAAAGACAGAGAGAGAGAGAGAGAGAGAGAGAGAAGAAGAAGAAGAAGAAAGGGTGCTTGGAGGCATAGGAAGGAAAGGAAGGAAGGAAGGAAACATCTTTGCTAAGTTGCATGGAAACTTTCTCCTGGATCTTTCTTGTTGTCATTCTTTTTTTTTTTAATGCATTGTTTTCTGTTTTTCTCTTTTTCTTTCTTCATTTCCTTTCTGGCAATACCCTCCCTCCAAACCAAACCACACCAAATCACACCACACCACACCAAACTAACCATACCACAGCAAACCACACCAAACCAAACCAAACCAAACCACACCACACCACACCACACTGAACCAAATGAAACCACACCACAGTGGTAGGAGAGTGTAGCTATATGGAGAACAGCAAGCCTGGCTTGGAGAAAAGGCAACAATGAAGAACAGAGCAGGAATGTCCTCTGTGTGGGGTAAGACAGGCCCCGCAGGGGACACCTGTAGCTGCTGTGCAGTCCCAACTCACAAGCAAGACTTGAACACGCAACCCCGTGAGAGGAACCTAAGCAAGAGGCAGAAGAGCACTGTGCTCCTTGTTTGTGGGTGAGGAGCAGCAGTGGGGAATCAAGCTTCTCCCCCATTGCATCTGGTATGAGTACTACTGGACATTTCTAACATGTCACCCCTGGGAATCCCAGGCTAACCCAGTGGTGTGACTGGGAAGGCTCTCGAAGAGCCACGCGCCTACCCCTAAGAGGCTGTCGCTCATCGGCTGACTCTCCACAGCCAAAGCCAAAGCCTTGAGCTGGAAACAAACAGGGCTCAGTTGCAACTTCCTTATAACTTAATGGACGTTGTCCCTAAGAGGACCAACCCCAAGACCCATGGGAATGTCTTGCCACCTATGGGAAAACCCAGCAGCAGGTGACTGACCAGAGCAGCATTGGTCTTTTCTGTCATCTCAAGGACACTGCTGGGACACACAGCATGCTGTGCGCGTTTTAGGGGAGACAGAGCGCTGGCTCTGTGCGTCTGTGCTCCAGCCAGGCTCCCGAGCAGGAACTGGGGCTGGAAGAGCAGAGGCAGTCAGCTGACGGAGCCCAGCTGTTGGCCACGCTGACCCTCCACAGGGAAGAACATCTGACTGCTTTTCTTCTTTTCTCTCTCTCTTTTCCTTCACCTCCCCTACACCTGTATTGTGTCACTGCTTCTGATCTCTGTCCTCCCCCGATGTTACCACGCTTCTCCACAGCTGAGCTGTGCGCCTTCGCGTGGGTGTGTTGGTGCCACAGTTACCACACGCCACTGGCCTTCTCTGTCTTCAGCATTCCCTGTCTCTTCCTTTCCTTCCCTACTATTAACACCCAAGTTCTAACCGCAACACCCACTACTACTCTTACTCTTCTTGTCCCCTACAGCACCATACAAGAACCCTAGCCCCTGTGTATATAATACGAATAGGTGTGACCAATTGTACTCTACTGTTTGTAAATAGGTAATTAGGTCTTAAATTGGCAAATATATTAAAGCTGAGCTGTCTCCATGTCAGTGCTGAGACATGGCACATCACACCCCAGCCGTTACCTGAAGACTCTAGATGACAAAAAAACCCACACTTTGTGTTGCATAGAGTCAATTCCAACACTGCAATATGAGAAATCAACATCTCCAAAATCAACAAGTGAACAAACCCTCCCGACCTTGGCCTGGGTCCTCCCAGCAGGCCTTCCTTCAGATCCTCTTCCCCAAGGGCTGGCCCTCTCCACCAAGCTGCTTCTGGCAGGCTGCTCTGGAGGGACACCTGGAACTTGTGTCTTCCAGGCTGCTGCTCTCTGACAGGTCCTGGCTCTGT